TCAGGCATTCTCCGACATTTGCTCGGTGAGCAGTTTCTCCTTCAGGTTCTCCACTTGTTGCCGGAGATCAGCATTTTCCTTGGTCAGACGAGCTATCTCCTCATTTGACCCAGGTGCCCCTTGGGCTTGCTGACTCTCCAATATGGCATTCCTTGCCTTCAACTTTCGTATCTCCTCAGTAGCACTATTTTGAGTATTGATGAGCTGAGAGATTGTCGAAGTGCTGCCTACCCCTCCATTCTTTTCAACACATTCGCATTCCTCCAAAGTAGTTTGAGAGAAGGTCTGCTTCTTGGTCCCTATCTTAGGTTGTCCCGAAGGCACTTTGAAGAACTTGAAGACGTGCATGAGAAGAAATCCATATGGAAGACCGTGGTTTCCATCCTTGAAAGTGGCCACCTTTTGCATGTGCTCAATCATGATGGTTGGCAAGTTTACAGCTTTAAACCCATCCAGTGCTTCCATCAGATACAAGTCAGACTTGGAAGTAATGGACCTTCTCTCAGCACGGGGTAGAAGAACTTTGTTCACCAGTTTAAACAATAACTAATAAACAGGAAGCAAAGCTTTCTTGTGGACCCGTTCTCCCCGCTGGACGGTACCTTCCTTCACAATAACATTTTTGAAATTTGACCCACACACATTCTTCACAGAAGACATACCATCAGCAGGGACCTTAAGAATGTCCGCAAGCAGAGCAGCATCCAACACAATATCAACTCCATTATCCAAAGCACAGATATGATCAGTTTCAACAGGAAAGAGATCTGCATAGAAACTTTGGACCTCATCCTCATAGACTTTGGGCACATCCACCTTGAACAGATGTCCCCACTATTGAAATGTGACCACGTCAATTATTTGTCTCATTCCGGCCATTTCAGAGATTTCTGGGTCAAAAGTGCGACCCCACAGAACCTTTTGGTACCTCAGTCGTTCCTTAGCAGACATACTCTCATGCTTCACTCTCTTTGCAGAATCAGGTTCCCTCACAGTTTCCACCTTCCTTTTTCTAGACTTCACACTCGATTTTCCCTTTCCACTCGACTTTACTAACACGTACTCATCAGACAAGGACTGTTCACTCACAACTTATTTCAACTTTCCACCACTTTTCACCGATTTTGAACTTGGTGTAGCAACACCTTTCTCTCGCTTCTTTTTCTGAGACCTTTTCACCAAGGAACTTGGTTCCTCTGCTGCTTCCTCATCTATTTCCACCACAGGAATGTTTTTGTCACCCACAACCTCCCCATTTTTCACCAGCCTCTTTTTCTTCTTCTTGTTACTCCTTTTACTCTTTTGCAAGGCAGACTCAAAGGCCTCCTTTGCTTGCAACCTAGTAGTAGGTCGCTTAGGAGAAGGATCAGGAGTGGTTACTAATCTCTTCTTGGCAATGAACATATCTAGAGCAACATGATCCTGATCTTCCTCATCACTAGACCTCATACCGGGAGCCAAAATTTCCAAGGGCTCAACATTAAACTGTGGAGAAGGAGCAGTGTCGAGACTAGCTGGGAAGAGGATCCTTGACCTGTTTCCTCAGGAGAAGGGTCAGGTCCTTCAAGAGGAGTCCCAGTAGTCTCTGCTAGTGCAGAATTTTCAAAGAGCACCACAGCTCCTTCTTCCTCGGACAACTGTGTCTCTTTCCTCTGAGACTTAGGCACAAAAGAGATCACCCCATACACTATTCCATCAGCAGATATGGCCAATATGTTTTCTACGGCCTCTTTCTCTTGAGACTCCATGGGTGCCACTAATCAGAAGCGAGAACAACTACCTGATCAATACTAACCTCTGAGACCTCTACTACCTGCGGAACTTTACTCTGTTCTCCACCCTTGCTTTGTTCAGTGAAAATCTCAGGTGATAGAGATGAAAGGTTATCGTATTTTGGGGTTTCTGAGTTCTTAACATTTGGAGGGAGAGACAGGTTTGAGAGAGTGACATGAGAACTAGAGGGTGTAGGAAAATCTGGTTTGGGAATGTCCTCTACAGCGGTGGGTGAAAAGGAGATGGTGAGAGGTGTTTCACTAGAAGCGGAAGAATCAAGGGTTTTCTCAACTAAGGAGGGGATTATTGGTTGATCTTCAGCCATGGCAGAGATGAAGTTTGAAAGTTCTAGAGAAGGACTGAAGAGGAGATATGGTCGTTCAAAGAAATGAGAGGGTTTTAATGAGAGAAGAAGTAATGATGAGGGAGAGAGAAACCGGTTCTAAAATGGCGGTAGATTTGTGAGGAGTTGCAACGTTTCAGAGGGAGATAAAGGGATTTGAATTGAAAAACGTGACATACAGGGTCTGAAAAAAGTTGATGATATGGCACTTGATTTTTGCATCCTTTTAAGATATGTATGAAAAAACACAAGACTACTAACCTGTGGTACAAGAACTAGGTTCTTGACCTGTCTTTCAAAATTTCCATCCTCTTTTATCACTCATTGCAGTGCATCTACAGCTTCTATAGTCATCATGCGTGTCTACTTGCAACGGTTAGCCTTGGCCGGAAAACACTTTAGCTAATGTTACCTGAAAGTGATTTTCATAGCCAACTGATGGGAATTAGGTTCTCAATTAGGCCTTAATAGCCCCAGCTTCAGCCTATTTCTCTCAAAATGTTCTCTACTTAGTGCTTTGGTGAAGATATATGCAATTTGGTCCTCTGTACTACAGAACTTCATACAGATAAGCCCTTTCTCCACATTGTCTCTGAGAAAATGATGTCTCACATCAATGTGCTTGGTTCTTTTATGTTGAACCGGGTTCTTGGCCATGTTGAGTGCACTGGTGTTGTCACATAGGAGAGGCACACAGTCAGTGTACACACCAAAATCTTCCAATTGCTGTTTGATCCATAGGAGCACAGCAGGAAGCTGCAGCAACATATTCTGCTTCAGCTGTTGAAAGAGCAACTGAGTTCTGCTTCCTTGTCCCCCATGAGATGAGACATGATCCTAGAAAATGAGCCATTCCAGAAGTACTTTTCCTGTCCACAAGATAACCTGCATAGTCAGCATCAGCATACCCAATAAGATTAAAATTATCACCTGAAGGGTAGTACATAACCAGGTCCTGTGTTCCCTTAAGATATCTCAAAATTCTCTTGGCAGCCTTCAGATGAGATTCCTTGGGATTTGACTAAAACCTTGCACATAGCCCCACACTAAAGACAATATCAGGTCTGTTGGCAGTGAGGTAGAGGAGAGACCCAATAATGCCTCTATACATGGTTTGGTTTATAGGAGAGCCAGATTCATCCATGTCCAGTCGAGTAGCAGTGGCAATGGGAGTGTCAATCACTTTTGATGCTTCCATATCAAACCTCTCCGGGAGCTCCTTGATGTATTTCTGTTGACTGATGAGTGTACCCTTTGTGGACTGCTTTACTTGAAGACCCAAGAAGAAGTTCAACTCACCCATCATGCTCATCTCAAATTCACTTCCCATGAGTTTTGCAAAGTCTTCACACAGTGGATCAGCTGTTGCCCCAAAAATGGTATCATCAACATATACCTGAACGATGAGCAGGTTCCTACCTCGTTTCTTCAGAAATAAAGTGTTGTCAATTCTTCCTCTTGTGAAACCATTTTCCAAGAGAAACTTTGACAATCTTTCATACCAAGCTCGAGGAGCCTGCTTCAATCCATACAATGCCTTGTCCAATTTAAACACATATTCAGGGTGTTCATGACATTCAAAGCCTGGAGTTGCTTTACATAGACTTCTTCCTTAAGGAATCCATTCAGAAATGCACTTTTGACATCCATTTGGAATAGAGTGAATTCCATATGTGATGCAAATGCAATAAGGATTCTGATAGCTTCCATGCGAGCAACCGAAGCAAAAGTATCATCGTAAACAATTCCTTCCTCCTGATTGTAACCCTTAACCATTAGCCTAGCCTTGTTCCTTATAGTGTTTCTATGTTCATCGAGCTTATTCTTGAATACCCACCTGGTTCCTATGATTGTTCTATCTGAGAGTCTAGGTATCAGGTACCATACATTGTTTCTTTCGAACCGATGCAACTCATCTTGCATGGTAGTGATCCAATATGCATCCTTTAAGACTTCCTTGATGTTTTTGGGTTCTATTTGGGAAACAAAATGCTAAGAAGGCAAGTGAATTTCTGGCTTTTGATCTGGTTTGTACTCCTGAATCTAGAGGAGTAAGTATATTGTCAAGAGGATAGGAGCTTTTGTGTTTCCAGTTGGGAACTTGAGCTTCATTTGTAAAGGAGCTGGGTAAGTCTGACTGGTTCCCTAGCATTCTTCTCTCAGCAGCTTGTGGAGTACCTTGTACTGCATCAACCACTTTTTCTTCAGCTTCAGTAGTTGTAATTATGGTACCTGGTTCCTCTCCTGTTGATGAGGAAGGAATTGTATTGTCTTCACCTGACTCCTTCACTTGACTCATCATGTCTGCCTTTCCGTTTGCCATATCAATGACTTCACCTGGAACTAACATAGGCTCTCCATCTTGATCACCCTTGTTGTTTTTCTCACAAGAGAGATAGGACTCGTCAAAGATTACGTGTACACTTTCTTCAACACACTTAGTCCACTTGTTGTATATCTTGTAAGCTTTACTTTGAGAAGAGTACCCGAAAAAGATTCCTTCATCACTCTTGGCATCAAATTTTCCAAGCTGATCCTTTCCATTGTTGAGAACATAACATTTGCACCCAAATGTTCTTAAGTGAGTCAGCTTGGGATTTCTTCCATTCAGTAACTCATAGGGAGTTTTGTTCAAGAGAGACCTGATCATGCACCTGTTCACCAAGTAGCAGGCAGTATTGACAGCTTCAGCCGAGAAGTTCTTTGCAATCCCACTATCGATCAACATTGTCCTTGCCATTTCTTCAAGAGTTCTGTTTTCCCTTTCCACAACTCCATTTTGCTGTGGAGTTTTGGGAGCTGAGAAGTTATGAGTAATCCCATTCTCATTGCAAAAATCATTAAACTTGGCATTGTCAAATTCAATCCCATGATCTGATCTTATTCAGGCTACTTTTAAGTCCATCTTCACTTGAATTTTCTTCACAAACGCTACAAACAGTTCAAAGGTCTCATCTTTTGATCTGAGAAAAAGGGTCCAAGTGAATCTGGAATAATCGTCCACTATCACAAAAATGTATCTTTTTCCTCCTTTGCTTTGCACTCTCATAGGACCACAGAGATCCATATGAAGGAGATCAAGTGATTTTGAGGTGCTGACATCCTTCTTTGGCTTAAATGAGGATTTCACATGCTTCCCTCTGGCGCAGGCATCACAAACTTTATGCTCCGCAAACTTTGACTTGGGCAGACCACGCACCAGGTCATTCTGAACTAGTTAGTTCAGTAGAGAAAAACTTGCGTGCCCCAATCTTCTGTGCCACAGCTCAACATCATCATCAATTGCTTTCAAGCAACTCAGATCACCACTTTGTAGAGACTCAAAGTCGGCAACATAGATGTTCTTGTATCTTTTGGCCACCAGCACCACTTCGCCTGTTACTAGATTAGTAGCTGTGCATATCTTTGACAAGAACTCCACCTTGTTTCCTTTATCACAAATTTTAGAAACACTCAAGAGACTGTACTTGAGCCCATTGACGTAGTACACATTCTCAATTGAGTGAGTGAGTGATTTCCCAATCTTTCCAACTCCAAGAATGTATCCCCTTTTCCCATTTCCAAAGGATACACTCCCTCCTTGCAGGGCTTTAGTGAGAGGAAGTCCATGGTATTCAAGTCATGTGCTTTGAGCATCCACTATCCATGAACCATTGTTGACTACTTCCTTTCACTGTTCCCTGCACAAGGAAATCAAGGGTTAGATTTAGGAACCCAAGCAAGTTTGGGTCCCTTGTAATAAGAATGAGGATGAATAAGTGCTCTTTTAGTTCATGCAGGTAACATACGTTTTTTATGAGTGGCACCTGGTCCCCTTTTAGCAGTTACTTTTTCAGCAAAAAAATTATTTTTCTAAAGAGACCGAGCTCTGGCTTGGCAATCTTCTTTGAAATGCCCGTTGTTCCCACATGGGTACACAGCCAATTATCGGGTACAGTAACATACTTGCTATAAGGGTTGTAAGGAGTTCTCTCCCTTTGAAACCCTATTCCCTGCCTGTTTCCACCATTGTGAACATACACGGCAGTAATAGCATCCGAGGACCAGGTCCACTTAAGAGACTTCTCAAGATCAATGTTTGCTATATCCAATTCTGCTTGGAGTTGTCTAGTTTTTTCAAGTTCATCACATAAACTGATTTTTACAGCATTTAATTTATTTTCTAGCCTGATATGTGCTTCACTAACAACTCCTTTTCCTTTATCAGTCCTCCCAGACCCACGCTCTGCTTTGAGTTCCTCTATTGTTTCCCTCAAATCTATGATCACAACTAGGAGGTCATCTCTTTCTTGCTCTAAGGCATCGATTTTTTCCACTAAGTCATTCTTTTCTTTACTTAGATTTTCAATAGTTTCTTTTAGGTCAACAACTACTAATATAAAGTCGTCTCTTTCATGTTCTACACTAACAATTTTTGCATTCAAAGCCACCTTTTCATTCTCCAGATCACTTATTGTTTCCTTCAGATCAACCACACACACTACCAAGTCATCTCTAGTTTGTTCAGCATCTCCTAACTCTATGGTCAGGGCATCCTTATCATCTACAAGACTATGATAGGCATCAATTAATACATTTGCTAATGACATGAGTTTTTTAGGAGAGTAGGATTTCAGATTTCTCTGAACGTCCCTGAAGTTTACCTCATCATTGTCATCATCTTCATCATTGTCTGATTGAGCCATCAAAGCAAATATTGAATCATATTCATTTTCTTCACTTCCAACTGCCATCATAGAGCTATCACCTGTATCAGTTTCTTCTTCAGACTCACTCGAGGAATCTCCCCATGCTGCAAGAGCTTACCTTACAGCATTGTCAGCGGCGTTCTTTCTTTTGAAGCGTTTGTCAGGCACCGGGTTCCTCTTTGCTGCTTTGTCAGGGTTATACTTGAAATGTTCTTGCTTCAGGAGAGGGCAATCCTTGATAAAATGCCCTGGCTTTGCACATTTATGACAAAGGTCATAATTCTTTGGTCTGCTGGAACTGCCTCTTTTTGGTATCCCTCCGTTTCTTCTGATCATCTTTTGAAACCTTTTAAGTAAGCCATGTCACTGTCCTCCTCGCTTGAGTCATTGCTTTCAGCTTTGAGTACCAGGTTCTTTTCCTTCTTTGGTTCTCTTCTTTCACTGTCCTTCTTCTTCTTCATTTCGTAGGTTTTCAGATTTCCGACTAGCTCATCTATGGTCAGCTCTTGCAAATCCTTTGCTTCAGTAATAGCATTCACCTTACTCTCCCATGAACTGGGCAGGACACTGAGAATTTTCCTCACGAGCTTGTTCCTAGGAATAATTTCACCAAGCGAGTGTAACCATTTATGATGGAAGTGAATCTTGTGTGCATATCTTGAATAGATTCATCGTCCTTCATTCTGAAGAGTTCAGATTCGGTGGTGAGCATGTCAATCTTAGATTTTTTACTTGATTGGTTCCCTCGTGAGCTGTTTGCAAAGCTTCCCATATCTTCTTGGCAGATTGACAGGCTGAGATCCTGTTGTATTCATCAGGTCCTATGCCACACACCAAAATTTTCTTAGCATGAAAATTTTTCTCAACAGCTTTCCTATCTGCGTCATTGTATTCTTTCCTGGTTTTAGGCATCGTCACAGGGGGGTCTCCAGCCTTCTTCGTTGGGACATAAGGACCATCACAAATAACATCCCACAACTCAGAATCTTCTGCCATGATGAAGTCATGCATTCTTGTCTTCCACCACCCATAGTATTCCCCATTGAATCTGGGTGGTCTATATGTAGACTAACCTTCTTCAAAATTTGGTGGAGCAGCCATGAGGATCCTTTCTGGGTGTTAACCTGATAGAAAGAACCCGCTCTGATACCAATTGATAGAATATATGAGTCCACCAAACTATATAGAGACCAAGTCCTATATGAGTTTCTACTGAGAATGCTAATATAAACAATAAGGAGTTTTTACGTGGAAAAATCCCTGCTCAAGGGGATAAAAAACCACGACCTACACTGGTAGGATTTCAACTTCACTATGAGCAACTTTAGATTACAACCTATGCAATCTAGGAATTAAACTCTTAATCCCTCACTAACTTGTAATACACCTATTACAAGCCACTTTGCAATACACCTATCACAAAACTTCAACACATGACTAACTCTAGTCACGACACAAACACTAAAGGTTTATGGTTTACAAGGGGTTCCTAAATCACGCTTCTAGATAAGCAAAGTAGGAATTACAATGAAGAACAATTACAAAGTTACAACTTAACTAAGGACATACAAAATACTTGCCGTAGGAAATGGTCCATAGTAGTGTTGTTCTTTGTTCTTGATGCACTTGAGAATTGAATGTTTGGCAGGCAAAATGGTTGAAGTGCTTGAATGAATTCTCAAGTGTTCAAGTGATGTTTTGTTGTAATGTTTAATGTTAATACAACATGGATGACATCACTTGAATGATGTAATCACTTAGTGGGTCAAATGAGAAGTGACTGCAGAACTGTGCTGCACTGTTTCTGTGTACAGTGCAGGCAGTCACTTTCCAGCTGTAGACAGTTGACTTCGTACTGCTGTCAGGGGAAACACAAGGGTATCAGGTCCCTGTGTTGATTCTCTATCTTCTGAAGTCATAGCAACTTTCATAAGCTGAAGTCCATTGATTTGAGTTGTGAACCAAGTGTGTTAGGTTCCTTATCTAGTTCTTTGACAGTAAATTTGTTAGATCATCAAAACACAAAACTAAGGTACTGTAAACCCATCAACTTTCAAAACAACAGGCCAGTTGTTACATCCCCCCTCTTAAAACAATCGTTCGTCCTCGAACGAGTATAGAGACATACCTGAAGCGATGAAAAGATTAGGGTAACAGCTGCGCATATCATTCTCAGTCTCCCAAGTCGCCTACTCGAATGGCTGACCCTTCCACTGAACCTTCACTGAAGCAATGTTCTTTGACCTCAACGTTCGAACCTGCCTGTCCAAGATGGCCACCGGCTCCTCAACATAAGGAAAATCCTTGTCCAACTGGACTGAACTGAAATCTAGCACATGAGACAGATCGTCGTGGTACTTCCGGAGCATAGAAACATGGAATACTGGATAAACTATTGCTAGACTAGGTGGTAGTTCAAGTATCTAAGCCACCTCTCCAACCCTCTCAAGAATCTGAATGGGCCCGATATACTTTGGGCTCAACTTGCCCTTCTTCCTGAACCTCATAACAGCCTTCATGGGCGAAACCCGGAGCAAGATCCGCTCCCCAACCATGAATGCAACATCGCGAACCTTCCGATCTGTATAACTCTTATGTCTGGATTGGGCTGTACGAAGTCGATCCTAAATCACTTAAACCTTTTCCAAAGCATCCTGAACCAAGTCTGTACCCAATAGTCTAGCCTCGCCGGCTCAAACCAACCCACTGGAGACCGACATCGTCCACCATACAAAGCCTCATACGGGGCTATTTGAATACTCGACTGATAACTGTTGTTGTAGAAAAACTCCACGAGTGGCAAGAACTGATCCCAAGAACCCCCCAAACTCCATCACATATGCATGAAGCAATATTTGAATAATGCGCTCGGACTGTCCATCCATTTGAGGGTGAAATAATGTGCTCAACTCAACCCGAGTACCCAACTCATGTTATACGGCCCTCCAGAACCGCGATGTAAACTGCGTACCCCGGTCAGAGATGATAGATATCGTCACGCCATGAAGCCTTACAATCTCGCAGATATAAACTCGAGCCAGCTGCTCAGAACAATAAGTAGTCATCACTGGTATTAAAATAGCCAACTTGGTCAACCTATCCACAATCACCCAAACTGCATTGAACTTCCTCTGAGTTCGTGGGAGCCCAACAACAAAATCCATAGTGATCCGCTCCCATTTCCACTCTGGAATATCTAGCTTCTGAAGAAATTTACCTGGTCGCCGATGCTTATATTTCACCCGTTGACAATTTAGGCACTGAGCTACATACTCTACTATGTCCTTGTTCATTCTCCTCCATCAATAATGTTGCCTCAAGTCCTGATACATATTCGCGGCACCTAGATGAATGGAGTATCGCAAACTATGAGCCTCCTGGAGAATCAACTCACAAAACCATCTACATTGGGCACACATAGCCTGCCCTGCATTTACAATGCACCATCATCTCCAATAGCGACCTCCTTGGCATCACCGTGCTGAACCGTGTCCTTAAGGACAAGGAGATGGGGGTGTCACGATCTGAATTTACCTCCGTAAGATTTTGTGACGGCACCTAGTCTCTAAGACTAGGTAAGCCTAACAATTTTAGAATAAATGAAAATAATAATTGAAATAACGACTAAACTTCAACAGATATATATATAACTGAAAACTATCGCTCGGCATATACAAGTAAAATCCACAACTTCGAATAAACACTCCCAAAACCCGATAATCACAAGTCACAAGCTCTAACAAATGTACTAACTGTCTCAGTATATCAACATCTAAGAAAAATAACAAAGATCAACATAAAAGGATAGAGGGGGACTCCGATGTCTGCGGACGCTAGCAGATATACCTTGAAGTCTCCACGTACTCACTGCTCAATGATATCGGGTCTGGTAGGAGGTACCTGAATCTGCACAAAAGATGTGCAGAAGAGTAGTATGAGTACAACACAATGGTACCCAGTAAGTCCCAAGCCTAACCTCGGTAGAGTAGTGACGAGTTCAGGCCAGGGCCCTACTGGAATAAAAAGGAAATAAGGCAGAGGATATAATAGTATAATGAAAAGATTGAGAATTACACAGCAAATAGGGGTAAACAACATGGGCACTCCCGAGGAATCGCCTCGAAGTCCCAAAAGTAAATACACAACAGGGGAGCTCCTGAGGTACCGCCACGTAGTCCCAAAAGTAAATATGCGACAAGGGAGCTCCTAGGTACCTCCTCGTAGTCCCAAAAGTAAATATGAAGTAGGGGAGCTCCCGAGGTACCTCCTCGTAGTCCCAAAAGTAAATATACTACAGGTAGCTCCTCGTAGTCCCAAAGGTAAATACACAACTCTTAATCGATGGAGCAACAAATTTACAGCAAGTAATCCTACAGTTAAAGACTAAATAAAAAATCAAGGAAACATGAATTCAAATAAGCATGTTGCATAGATTGCAAGTAAGAATTTAGACACCTAGACATGTGATATTAGGCTAAACAGGATGACTACACACTAAGGCAACTCAATTAAGGAACTAAAAGAAGATTACTCAGCAAGAACTGGATTTTTCAACAACTAACCCCAGTACGCACTCGTCACCTCGCGTACACGGCCTTCATGTATTTCAAATACCATAACAGCACAAAACCTAAGGGGAATTTCCCCCACACACGGTTAGAAAAGTCACTTACCTCAAATCAAGCTCAATCAGTAAACAAGAATGCCTTTCCCTCGATTTTCAGACTCCGAATGGACCAAGTCTATCCTAAAGCAATTACATACTATAAATATAACTATAAGAAACTAATCTAATTAAAAAAATCAGGACTTTAACAAGAAATTAGAATATTGCCCCAAAAAATTGACCCGGGCCACATCTCGTAATTGGGTAAAAGCCACAAAATTCGAATAGTTGTTCAACTACGAGTCCACCCATACTAAAATTACTCGAATCCGATACCAAAATCTCAATCAAAACCTCAAAATTTGGCCTAAGGTTCTTCCACTATTTCCCCCCAATTTGCAGCCCAAATCCTTGATTAAATGAAGAAATTAATGATAGATTAGTGGAATATAATTAAAAATGAGTCAAGAATCCTTAACCAAATGTTTCCTCTAAAAAAGCTCTCGAAATTTCACCTCAATCCGAGCTCTCTAGGTTCAAAAATGGAGAATGAAATTAAACCCTCGAATTGGCCCTTGTCTGCCCAACGAAATCGCACCTGCGAACCCACAGCCGGATCTCCGGCTCCGCACCTGCAGAATTTCCCTCGCAGGTGTGGTTATCACTTATTCCAGACACATCCTCTTCTGCGCACGCGCTCCTGTGGACCATGTCCGCTTCTGCGATCAAC